ATAATATATTGTATTATATCATACATATTATGGTATGGTATGGTATGGTATGGTATATGACATGAGACGAGATGAGGTGAGATGAGATATATGGAGCAATAAACAATATCTGTTATTCCCATATATGGGACTATATATAATACAATGTCAATAATACAGAATATATTACCTATATTATATGTTTTAACACCTATTTTGATACATCATATATATGTATTTATATCTATCAAATATATGTATTTATATATACGTGAGCTTCGTTATTTTTCTTGGGTTTTTTGGGGGGGAAAAGGTCTTTTCACGGCGGTCCCTGCCGAGAGACGGAGGCGGCACGCCGGGACCCAGCAAAGAGCTGCAGAAAGCAGATTTGGGGGAATCCGGCCCTCGCACGACAGGCGAAGGACGATGCCAACGGCCGTTTGCAACCCCTGACACCAAACCCACCTTTTCCCCCCCCAAAAAAAAAACCCCCGCTGCATCGTTCCAGGGATGCTTTTGGTACCCCACAGTAATTCAGATGCTCAGACTGGGGGGAACAAAAAGCGAGTTTCCTTGCGATTTTCCTTATTGACCGCCGTCCTCGCGCGAAGAAGCTGAAATCTGGTGCCTCTTCCCACCCCGGGTTTTTACCTGGACCTGTTTTTCAGCCCTTCCCTGATAAAAAACAAGCCAATAAAGTGAAGATGAAAATATATTCATTAGGATTGATAACGCTCATTAAAACTGGCTGTGTAGGAAAGCATGACTCCGCTTCGGAGAAGTAAGGGGGAAAAATGCAAATTCTTCTGCATGAAAAGAGGAGATCTCCCTAATCGCCCCAATCAAACGCCGGCGCAATTATCTGCGGCCAACCCAACGGGTTAAAATTATCCTCTTCATCTCCGGACACAGTAAGGAGCCGAAAAATGTTTCATTTTAATAAAAATGAAATCTGGACCCTGCAGAAACCAGCTTCGCTAATGACATGTTTACACAGAAAAAGACAATTTCTATTTAATGGTGATGACTAGCGAGAAGAAATTAAACTTCCTGGAGTATATGGGTTAGAGATAATGGGAAGAAAAGAAAGTTATTGAGGGCGTGTAAATCAGGAGAGCTGCATATGGGGGGATATATCTGCACGTGCTGCTCGCTAGGAGCGCTCATCCCTGCCTCGCCGGGCTTAGCGTGCAAAGGACGTACAGATTTTGCTATGAGGACTTTTGTGCATACGCGTGCGTTTGCATACACGCAAATATGTACGTGCATGCACGCGCAAACACGCAAACGCACGTGCAAGCGCACGTGCAAACTTGCAAACGCAAATGCAACCGCACATGCACATGCAAACGTGCACAGGCACGTGCAAACGTGTACGCGCATGCAAACATGCACATGCAAACACACATGCAAACACACATGCAACCGCACATGCACATGCAAACGTGCACAGGCACATGCAAACATGTATACGCACATGCAAACATGCACATGCAAACGCACATGCAAACTTGCAAACGCAAATGCAAACGTACATGCACATGCAAACATGCACATGCAAACATGTATACGCACATGCAAACATAAACATGCATATACGCACATGCACATGCAAATATGAAAACGCACATATGAACATGAACCTGCCCATGCAAATGCCGATGGACGTGCAAACGCACATTGAAACATGCAAATGCACATGCAAACATGCAAACACATATGCAAACATGCAAACGCACGTGCAAACAGGCAAATGCGCACGCACATATGCACATACGCAAATGCACATGCAAACACGCAAGCGCACATGCAAGCCTGCTGGTGCACATGCAAACACGCGCATGTGTGCATACGCGCAGGAGTCCTCGCAGCAAAATACGCAGGTTTTGCACGCTAAACTTGCCAGGTCCCGCCAGTGATGCTCCCAGGCGTCTGGGTGGTTTTTTTGCTCCCACGTCGGGAGAAAGAAGTGCAAACTAGGGTTTGATCGCGGAAATTCAGCTTTTTGGCTTGCAGGGTTATCTGTGCTGATTCTTCCTATTCTTTTTTTTTTTTTTTGATTATTCTTTTTTCCCAGAGTGAATTTTTTTTTTTTATTATTTTTTTCCCCCAAAAAAGCCAAGCCGAGCCGAGATCTTTTTGCTCCTACAGAGGACGAAGTTAAGTTTTCGGCTTCCTCTTTGTGCCAAGGCCATTCCCATCCCGCGCCGACCTGTGCAAACCCATCCCGGGGCCAAATCATTTAAACGTCGGGCTTTAATGTCTGCTCTTTTATAAAGCCGAGCAAACATCTGCAGAACAAGCCCAGATGTGAGTCGCTCCCCCCCCACCTCCCGCCCCGAATCCAGGAATTTCAGCTCCAAGGCACATAATAAGGCAGCGTCTGGGATGGTTTAATAATAGGAAAATTAAAATTGTTAGCGAAGGAGAATGAAGAACGCGCTCGCAAGGAGGTTTGCGAGGAGGGGGGGGGGAAGGAGAAAAAAAAAAAAAGCCCGAGCTGAAGCCCCCGGGGAACCGTTGGTTCAGGGGAACGGGAAA